ATTATGTCTAATTGATAACATTTTAGTACAACGTCAAACGCACTCAATTACGTTTACAGTATTAGATATATACGATGGATTTACAAACAAACAACATACCTTCGTAATGGCGATCACCATATTCAAACCTTGGCGAAGTGAACATAATAACTGTAGCAGTAGGCACCCACAGTAGAATGTCTAATTTCCAGTTTGATTCGATAGCTGTTCGCCGTACGAACTTTTAACCAATGATTCTTCGCAGTCTGAAATGACGCCGTCGTCGCCGTTTATATATTTACCAGATAGGTTGACCTTTGTAGATCACAATCATTATACGAATATGGCGGTTTATCACCTTAGTGATCTGAATAGAGTTAGAGCGAGTTAATGTGTAACGAACTGCATGACTGCGACCACAATCTCAGGTGAAAATGTAAACAAATACACTACATTTTAAAGTGAAATACGAGCTCTTCTAACAGGTGCCGGTACATGCACGTCTTATTTCAATTATGTTGAGAATTCCAATAACTCTGTCCCTAGACTGAAATTGTCAGAGCGGGGCATTCTCTGTATTAATAATATCATGTGGTTATGTTAAACGCGGTGTGTTCTGCACTTAGGTGAGAAATTATTGCGGAGAATCTGGTGCCACGAATGAATGATTGAATACCCGTTTTATTATATTATGTTCACACTTCATGACGTAATTCGCAAAGTATTGTGAGCGGAATCAAACACTTCAAAACCGCCAGCAAAAAAGCCGATTCTTTCTATATATTATATTAGCCACAAATTATTTGAGTATTGCAGAATGTGGTTTCATAATGCCCTTATCTGAACCCACTTTCAATTTAACAAGTATTATCAAAACATAAATAAATCACCGAAATCAATTTAAAAATCGTCTGCTCATGCGTATTACAACCCGTTTGAAAATCGCCGTATGTGGCGCTCTTGCCATTGGTGTAACTACACGTGTGTGGGTGTTCAGTGTGTTTTAAGCTGGGGTATCTTATTTTTAAATAAAAATATAGTTATACGTAATCATCCACTGAAATTATGAACAGGTGAAGTGATGATAGTTTATGCCATTGCGTCCAACGTTTAGAATACACCAATGAATATATAGTAACCAACATGTTATGTAAATTTGTACGAATATGCAAATTACTACAACCGTATTTAGTGATTGTAGCCTGTTTAATAGAACAGCCCGTATAGCAACAGGTCTCCAGAGTAACACATTGTATGATAAACGTTCGAATTGGTTTTAAGGTTATTAAACTTGAGTGTGTGAAATTTTCAAAGATAGAAATATTATCATACCTCAATTGGTCGACCGTAATATCAAGAACAAATTATTGATATTATTTTTTGGTCAAAAGTGTATTTCGTTTTTAGTTCCATGCAATCAAGGTCTGCACAGTATATTGTGGGATTCGGAAACTCATTTATAATCACTAGTATTGAAGCGAGTGAGATTGGCGGGGCTGGTGCTCTAACAGTGAGCACACAGAACAGCGGTATTGTAATTTATGTTAGAATGAATTTCACCCCACATTCCATCTTTAGCTCGTTCACAATTAAGATTTGATATACTTGCTACAACCGTATGGCATACACCAACATTCAGCAAATAAACACACATATTGTACACAACCAACTGCTACCGTGACGACATAGCGGTTAAGATAATAAATCAAATACTCATTGATGACTCATCGTTTTGTCAAAACACCGTTCGGTATTTTTATTATTTGGAACACTCTATTAAAATTTTATCAAGTAAATGTTTAATAAAAAAACAAAACGAAACAAAATCATACACGCATTTCAATAAATCTCATTAAACCAACTAACAATTAACAATGAAACCAGAAATTAGTCGTCCTGTACTTGTTAATTTTGACCGGTGATGCTGTCACCATAACGACACCTGTCGGATTTATCGACGTTTCGAATGTACCTCTTACGTCATAGTTTCCCAAAAAACGATGCAGAAACAAATCTCTGAGGGCGTACTTCTGAACAGTTGTGGTGAAGCCAATCTCCTCCAATGTCACCGTAACATTGGATGGTCCGCCGTCACTCCCCTTGTTGAAAAACACCACTGCGTAACTTCCGTTGACCAAGGGTCTGCTCCACACATCAACACTGCCTCTCTATAAAAAATACAAAAAAAAAAAAGAAGAAAAAGTACGCATGCATTCTGGGAAATGAATTATTACAAGATAATGTTATTATACACCAGCAGCGTAATTAGTGTTGAGTTTCTTTTTCCGCTACAACCCTCAAAGATTAAACTGTTGCTGTACGTCTTAAAGCGGGAGGGTCGTCACCTGCGCACGCGCGGGAATTGAGTCATAGGGGCGTCGATAACAACACACGCTAAAAACGCTATGGGTAGACGCTTGTTTGTAAACAGTGACATGCTATGGCCATCTGGCGCATGCGCGCGCGATGACTCACCCACTTTAAGCTGATTGATATATAGGTTACATCCTACTCCTATACTATATTATAATGTAGGGTTAACAATCTAAAACATATCATATTCTGAATATAGAAAAATACAACGATAGAGTCGTATTTAACCTACTGAGATGACCCTTCTACCCATCTTTCCAAGTGCATCTTGATCCACAGCAATGACTTCTTTATTAAGTAGTATCTCTTTGGCCTCATCGCTGATAGTTCTCAGATCGGTAGACATCATTAAAGGTGCAGCAAATATTGACCACATTGCCATCTGGGATTTTGACTGATCGTAACTCAGACCAAAGTCACCGATAATAAGCTAGAATATAATATAAGTTGAACGATTTTGGTTGCGGTAAAACTAAAGACAATGACTAAAGCTTAGAGCTTAGTACCTTTCCCCGAGTCTGATTTAATGGGGTATGAGTTACGTTATTTTAAATATTTTTTTCATATTTTTTAATTCATGTCATACTATATATATATATATATAATTATCTTTGCGGTACCGGATGAACCCACACGGGATACCATGTTTCTGATGTTTATGCAAACACTACGGTAGTCCAAATATGCATCTCTAGCATTGCATGCTATTACCATAAATGTGGAGTCAATGCAAAGCGATATACAAGATCGTGCCTCATTGGCTGCCCACTCCTAACACCTAGCAGTCAGACCAATCAGAGTGCAGCTTGTTTATTGAACAGTTTTTTTCCGACGTATCAACTTCTACTTGGATGCATGCTTCAACTCAATTGTAAATAAGTATCATGTTACATGGAAAACGGTAGTTTTGAACTCAGCATAAAATGTAGCCTGACATGTAAACGTGAGTAGGCCCTCGCCGGCCGAACGGCATAAGACCTCACTGTGTTGGGTTTGGAGCACCGCTGAGGGCGCAACTCACGCGATCTCGTCAGGCTACATAAAATGGTATAAACACCAATGAAAAACGGTCACATGCAATTCGCAACCTGTTAACAACATAATTGCATCATTAATTGTTGCACCAAAATTTCGTGATGATAAAACATTTGAGCAGTTTGAAATGAAA